TAAAGAAAAATATGTTTGCATACTAACAGTAAAAAAAATAAAAATGATTGGACACCTTTGGTTGTAACAACTCAGATCAGAATGAGATTTTTACACTGTAAAGTTGCCGGTGTCAAGTATTTTTGGAATTCAATTCTATGATTTCTCTGTGAATGCCATTTTAAAAACAATGGTCTGAATGTTTAATTAGATCTTTTACACAAACGTAGTATATTAGTAATGAAAGGCATGTTTGGTAATACAGTAATTTCATTTCAGACCATGAAGACCATGTATTATTATAATTATCTGGGATGTGTCGTTGGGCTGATAAGCATGGAAAATAAGGAATGTACTCCTGTCGAGCAACAATATGTTTATATAAAACGAATAACTCTTTGAAGATTACTTACTAGAAGAAGTAGAACAAGAAGAAAAAGAAGAAGAAATACACTGATGATGTCAGCTTTACTTCCTAAAGTTGTATACTATTTGAAAATAGTTTATATTTTATTCATGAACAGCCGGCTTGTCAGAATTGCGTACAAGGATGCCATTGGACTTTTCTGTACTAGTAGCTGAAGGGGAGCAGTCACCAGAAGGAGCATGCAACTCCAAAACAATGTGGATACTTCTACCGAGTTCATCTCAAGAATCGAGATGTGACAGTGGATGTACATGTAGAGGGGTTTGTGACCCTCCTGACTGTGGACTACTTGCAATACACATACATGTAAACTCAATCAATGGATTGTAGAGGAGTAATGGTGGGTCCGGTGAGCTCAACTCTGGAGGTTAAGTTCGGAAAATTAATAAAGTTCCTTTTAATATGGGTGTATATGGTTCCAGGGATTAATTTGACGCAATGCCCCGTAGTGACACGCCCTTTTAAGGGGCAACACACGTGTCAGAAGGTATAAAATGGGAAGCAGTTCCTGAATTGGCGCGAGCTTTTACTTTTCGGATGACTTCCTCATTTTGTTTCATACCTCATTTCCTTTGCCGCCATGAGGTGCTAAAGTTTTAGCAGAGTTGGGGGCTTCCACCCCATAGATGTGACTTTTCATGATTAAATGTAATAAATTGTAATAAAGTTACTATCCACTTCAACATTTGTCGAGAATTTTATTTCTTTGTGTGGACTTTGTTCTTCTCTGGAACGCGATTTGGGCAGTGTGATAGGCGGCCACCGGCCACTCAGTTGCCGGGGCTGTTTCATATATAAAGAATGTGTGAAGACAAGCGACTGCATTATAAGCTCAGCATGATCAGTAACATTGATTCCTTTTATGAGGAAATTTAAATTTTTGTTCCTCCCAACCATGAGTTGTACATATTCTTTGATTCGGGGAGGGGTTGGTGAAGAGGGATAAGTGCCCCATATTTTGTATTGTAACAGGTTTTGTTTTCTACATAAGGAGACAAGGATAATATAGTAATATATCACCAATATCAACACGATGAGCAAGACAGCGAATGAGCGATAGAATGAGTTTAGAGAGGGTGGGGAAGGAGGATCGAGAGAATAGAAGGGGACGAGGTGAGAAGGAGACTGAGTGTGGAAAACAGAATTGGAGGGGTAAAGGAGGGCGGGAGCAGGAAGTAGAAGAGAGAGGTATATAGAGTAGAATAGGGAAGAAGGGAGGAGATGGATTGAGTGAGGAAAAAGAGGATGAAATGGGGAAGAAAATGGAGGAAGGGCTAGAAATGAGTGGGACAATAATAATGATATATGCCCGATATATGATGTTAGGCTGAAAGAGGAGGAAGGCCAAGAAATGGGAGGTGATATAATATACAATGAGGAGACTGTGAAAGCAGGGGGAAAAAGAAGAATTAATGAGGGGGGGGGGGTTAAAGGGAGAACAGAAAGTAGAGGAAACAGAGAGGATGGTGGAGCTGAGAGAGCGAGGTTAGAGAGGGGCAGTGGCGAATCCGGGGAGGAAAAACATGTAAAAACCTTTTGGGGGAGATGCCCCACCCCCCCCCCCCCCCCTGGCGCTCAAGGGGGGGGGGGAATTTAGAGGGCCCCCCCCCCCAAAAAAAAATGTGGTCACTACCCACTAAGGGGAGGACAAAGGGGGAAAGTAGAGGAAACAGAGAGGAACGGTGGAGCTGAGAGAGCGAGGTAAGAGAGGGCAGTGGCAGATCCGGGTGGGGGGGGGGCCATTCCCCCCCCCCCCCTTCGAAAATAAAAATGTAAAAACACGTTAATTTTACCTTTTTGAGGAGATGCCGCACCCCCCAGCCCCCCCCCCCCCCTGGCGCTCAAGGGGGGGGGGCAAAATTTAGAGGGCCCCCCCCCAAAAAAAAATGTGCTCACTACCCCACTAAGGGGAGGTTAAAGGGGGAACAAAAAGTAGAGGAAACAGAGAGGAACGGTGGAGCTGAGAGAGCGATGTAAGAGAGGGGCAGTGGCGGATCGGGGGGGGGGGCCGTCCCCGTCCCCCCCCTTCAAAAATATTTTACCTTTTTGGGGAGATTCCCGCCGCCCCCCCCACCCCCCTGGCGCTCAAGGGGAGGGGGGGTGCAAATTTTAGAGGGCCTCCTCAAAAAAAAATTGTGCTCACTACCCCGCCACCCCCCCCCCCCCCCCCCCCTGAGCGCATTTTCGGCTGGCGCGATTTTCAAATTTCCGGGAGAAAAAATTTAAAAAAATGAGCCCCCACCCCTAAGAAATCCTGGATCCGCGCCTGGAGAGGGGAAGCAGGAAGAAAGGGGGATCGAGAGAGGGACCAACATTAATGAGACGCGGAGAAAAGGGAGCGTAGATGGGGAGAAGGCGAAAGGGGGCATTCTTTTGGATTTAAGAGGGCGGCCGGCCGGGTAAGGGAATAAGGGCGTATACTCCGTGGAGCGTTTAGGAAATGAGGGGAAATAAGAAGAGCTAGCGCAGGATAGTGAAGGGAAAGAGAGAGGAGAAAGAGCGCGTACGGGATGGAGGGAAGGAAGATTGAGGAGGGGGGGGGGGGGGCGGGTGGCGGAATAAGCAGGCCGACCGGAGAATGAGTTGATGAAGGTTTGGGAAAAGGGAGTGAATGAACTATGGGAAAGGATTGGATAAACTGGGATTAACGGATAAGAGCGAATTAAACGCGGTGAAAAAGAAGGTAGAAGACGAAAGTTGGAGGTGAATGAGGAAGGAGAGAATGAAAGGGGAGAGAAGAAGAAGGAGAGAGTGGTAAACAGAGAGCTAGAGAGGGGAAGCGGTAAGGCAAGGGGAGAAGGGGAGGGGAGAGATGAGCAAGCAACCCGGCGGAAGAACGAGTTTAGAGAGGATGGGGGAAAGATGATTGGATTTACGGCGAAGAGAGGGAAATGGCTGAAGGGGTGCATTGGGGGCGGGGGGGGGGGGCAGGGGAAAATCAAGGAGAATGGGGATGAGGGATTGAGACAATAGAAGGGGACGAGGAAAGAAGGAAGAGACACTATAATACTCAGGTGATAAAGAGGAACAGTGCGTTACTGTGGCAACCGTAATCTGGATAACATTAAAGTAAGAGGTAATAGTCTACTCACAAGACGATTTTATGTTAATCGAGGGTCTATAAATAGGGATAATATCAATCTATAGCTCTTTTAAAATGTTATACAATCGGCCTATAATCAAATGAAACTCCTAACTTCACTACAACCTTTGTTTTGGTGATTAATTGGTACTCTTTACCGTTAGGTTCTTTTAAAGCTATGATCTTGCTTAACTCGTTGTTTATGCATGCATGAAGCATTGCCCCTACCCCCCTAAAAATATTTAAAAAAGTGAATTAAAAAATGTTATGTCAGTGCCAACAAAATCTAAATTAATAAGTGAACATTAAACAACATGAACAACCTACACAGAGGAGCATGCACGCGTTTTATTTTATATCATTTATATTTTCATTGCCCATGCGATTAAAAATAGGTAAAGTCTGGAGTAAAGAAAACTCATCAGACCAGTGTACTATCAGGGCGCAAAAATTACTCATCCTACAGTTCACTACTGTTCTATAAATCTAACCTAGGTGACAATAGTTCCAGTACATTACCATAGCAACCTTGTCACCTGGGTTTCAGATTACATATTCTGCTCTGATATTACTGAGCAACTTTGGGTAATCTCCTTCGATACTTTACTGTTACTGTATTGGTATCGGGTGTTTCAAGCGATACTGAACAGCTGAACTTTCAGCCCTAGCGTACTGTCTATTTCACAACGCCATCTCATGGTCAACCGACGCGAGAAACAACAGTGCAGCCATGCAGGAAATAAGTGTGTGCCGGGACCATACTGCTACAGCTGACCTGAGATGGCACTAGAGGGAATTTTGCGTTGGTGCTTCTAGTACAGTATGGCTTTGAATAGACCGATCTACTAATGTATTTCAAGCAATGTGCTTCTAACTTGTGTACATTTAATTCACCTGCTATGCATCACAGTATCTCTAAGGGTTAAAATCCACTTTGCAAACATTAGTTGTTATTATAAGATGATGAAGCGGATCCTAATCAAATGATTGGTTAAGAGCGTAAACGTGACCAGGCATTTATTTTGCCTGACACGTAATTTTACTAATGACCGGTCATTAGTAAATATTTATGACCGGTCATTTGTAAAATCATGTTATAAAACATCATTTCATAAAACAAATAAAACATCATCTTATAAAACCAATAATAAACATCGTTGTGTTCGGGCATTAATAAAATTACCCACAGTCGGTATCTTCGAAGCAGTCCAATTAAACACCCTCGGCTAGCGCCTCGGGCGTGTTAGACTGTTCAAAGGGTACCTTGTGTGGGTAATACTTACTTTAATATGCCCTCATTGATGTGTATTATTTGTATACTAGTCAGTCAACAAACATCCTTCTCCCTGATGTTTTGACCATTTGACGCCATGAATGCACCCGCCTTAACGACCAGAAACCACCCTTTTTACACGTTTCTGGAGGCCCGCGTGTGTATAGCAATGTATTTGACTGCGCCCCCCCCCCCCCCCCCCGGGGGGGGGAAATGATTCACAATAAACAAAATCTTACAAGCCATTGCTTTCCAGGCTTTAAAGCTGTTGCCACTGGCGTGCTGCCATGTCCGGTACATCTTCCCTTTAGGAGATATCACGAATCCTTCGTACTTGGCCGTGAAAGGATTCTTGATCAGCGTAGCATCTGTTCCAATGAGCGCAGTACCAGCAACAAGACCCCAAGTACAGCTGGTTGAAGTGCCTATTCAATTGAAATTTCAAATACATTTATTTTCACATTAGTTAAAAACTACAATATATGCAGAAATAATCAAAAAGACCAGAAACTTGAACTGCAATCCTATTAGAACGTTATTCATGCATTGGCGCCGGTGTTTTTTACGTGACAGACGAAAGAGCCTCTCTTGGACTATCCAGAGGAATTTGTTAGAAGTCTGTAGCATGTAGGAGAGTGAAGATAGGTGGGCGGAAAGAAAGGCTTTAATAACGGCCTCAAAGGACAAAATGGCGCCTGGACGGTCACGCATGAGCAATTTCGGAAAACGAAGATGTCTGTGACCTTGATGGGATACTAGAAATTATGCCTACGAATTGTGTAAGGTATCTGGATAACGGAATCGACCTATCACTATGAACATGACGGACAAAGAAAGAGGACAAAATATACAGTTCTTCAGGTAGACAAAGAAACATCCCTTCACTGCTATTATATAAAAATGTGTAGACCAGGTGTCACATGCATATTCACCTTTTTTTTACTCATTTTTACATAATAGCAGTGAAGGGATGTTCCTTTGTCTACCTGAGGAACTGTATATTTTGTCCTCTTTCTTTGTCCTCATATTCATGGTGTATATAGGGCTCACAAGCACTGCGTGCATAACATATCAGATTTGATGAAAGAAGAAGATGTCTTGACGCGTGCCGTGGCCTAAATGGCCTTCCATACTGATATAATCAAGCAGAGTATAAAATAGGGTCAATAATGCCCGCCTTCACAGATTTTCAAAATCCGGTTGTTTACATTGTGATTTTAAACAAGTTGTTCAAAATGTTGATCAACTAGGTGTTTAAACCTTAAACAACTCGAGATGATTAACATTTTAAACAACTCTCAGATCAGGTCACCCGTTAATCCGATGTTGTTTAAACTTTTAAACAATATGTTCACAAAAATGTTAACTGTGTAGCAATTAATACTGGGCACAAGACGTTTCGCAAAATATGCTTATGATAATAATAAGAAGAATACAAATAATTATAAGAATTAAAACAATATTAATAATAACAATAATAATTATAATAATTACGATATTAACTGCTGTAGCAACAACACCAATGATAATGAATAAAATAATGATAATAATATTATACAAATATACCAAGCTGTGAGAAGGAATAGTGGAAATTATTTTATCTGAGGAGGGACTGGCAAAGTATTATTGCAGTCCCTCCGAAGATATATAATTTCCACTACTTTTACGAACTAAATGCTTGGTATATTTGTTTTAAATCACTTCGTTACGATCCGAACGTTTGACTTAATGATTGGCTGGCATATGTTTTTTAACTATATTCTTATGTCACCCACATTGGGCCGGGTATTGGAGGGAGAAAAAAAATCCGGATTTTATTTATCCTCTTAAATGGGTAATTTTAAGATAATATACACCTTACCAGAAAATTTATCTTGTCCACTATGTATAATCCTACACCAGAAGTTTTTCATTCTGCTTTCGATATATTTCTCAAGTTTAAGCCTCCCCAATTCACCAAGTACCATACAATTTGCAGTTGTTTGTTGACAGAAAAGGCTTGCTTACAAAATTTCATGTGGAAAATTTCAAGGTCATGTAGCACTTCAAATCCCCATATCTCACTTCCATAGAGAAGAATATATATCAGGCACCTTGGTTTAAAAAAAAATCAAGCTTACTCTGGACAATATGGGGATGTCTAATTTATAGGAAATTTGTGAAAATACTAGCTGTGAGTGGGTCAAACAAACTGTGGAACGTCGATTGAGAGATTCTCATGCTCAGTATTGGTCTGCTTGTATGTATAATAATTCGCATTGTGTTAACTATCGAAACTTCAAACATTCTTTATGTTTAGAAAGATACTTAATCGATCTCATTAAAAGAGATCGGACAATATTAAGTCGTTTTCGTTGTGGCAATCATTACCTGTCGATTCCGTAGCTGGTAGATATTTATATACTCCGAGGGAAATGAGGCTATGTACGCTGAGCAATTTGCAATCGCTCGGGGATGAGTTTCATTACTTGTTTGTATGCCCTACCTTTCGTTCAGACAGAAAATTGTTCATCGATAAATATTTTATTGAAAGACCAAATACACTGAAAATGGATCAGCTCTTTAACTCCAATAATGTACAAACACGTTTAAACTTAGTAAAATTCTGTCGAAAAATAATGCTTTGTTTTCATTAATTTAAGTATGTGCATAAAACATGTTATGAGTTCAATATTAACTTGATGTTTCTCTTTTTTGTCTTATATCAATTTATTAAATTGATATCAAAATGTTTTCAGTAATTCATTAATTCAGATATCAATTTACTGGTGCCAGTAAAAAAAAAAATTCAATTGCTTCCATTAATTTCGTCATTAATTATCGTTTTTGATTATTATTATTATTATCATCATCAATATTGTTATTATCATCATAATTTTTCTCACTATTGTCGATAGTGTTATTTTATATGGATTAACATTAATTCTATTTGTATTGTATAATTCACAGTGTTAAATTGACAAATTCAAACTGATTGTAAACTTCTCCAATACCCCAATGTGGGTGACATGAGTATAAATTGTCATTGTCATTGTCATTGCTCATTACTTTTGACTGAACATGATGTGATGTCACAATGCTTATCTACCTGAAAATCTCATAGAGCATGGGCAGTTCTGATATATTTGTTTTATATTTTTCAAACCAACCTTCATAAAAATATTAATGATAATAATTATGTTAACTGTCACTGAAGTAGTGTAGAGTGCAGTGAGGGCAGCACAGACGACAGTACCGCGACCGTGACCGTTAGCACATTGATCTTGATCGATCTATATGACGTCATCCATGGTATAGTGCCATGGTATAGTTTGCACTATACCATGGATGACGTCACGGTTACATCATAGCAATGTTATGTTTGGTCATGTGATGCTATGTTGACCAATCACTGAACAGGATTTCATAGGTTTTTAATAGTGAAATTATATTTTATTACGTGACCACCAATTGACCAATCATGTATTTAGAAAAGTCATGAATATTCATAGAAGGGATATAATGATCATTATGATACTGCTGCAATTACTAGGATGAAGAAGATGAAGGGGAAGGAGAAGAATCATTTTGGTGATATTAGTGATTATATTATCTGTGATTGAGGCATACACATACACATTACATACTCCGTAGTAGTAAAGATGGAAGTAAGCGAGGGGGAGGAAGGCAATGACAAGAGAGAGATAAAGAGAGAGAGAGAGAGAGAGAGAGAGAGAGAGAAATGTGGCCCGGTTCATATTCAGTTTTCTTTAGATTTAGACGGTAGACCCGGTACTAATGATCATTTATCAGCCTGTTATTGCCTCGTACATGACGCTAAATGAGAGTGCCCTCTGTTGTCATCAAATACTGTTCACATAGCATTGTAGAAATGATGAACAAATAAAAACAATACTATATGGTTGTTCGTCATGAGAATATTCACTTCTCTCTCTCTCTGCCAAATAATTCGAACAATAGAATCAACCGAGCGTAATCAACTGTTAAACGAATGTGTTACAGCTTGGAATCGTAATAATGGTAGGGATACCAATAAATAGCATATACGAACTTTTCAGGACTACCAACAGTCCTACACAAACACTCAGGAAAGAAAATGTACCGACAGTCCTTTTCAGGACTCCCCAATCTTTCCCCTCTCCTACATGGTGCAACTGTCAGCCTACTGTATGTGATTATTAATGTTGTTGTTATTATTACCATTATTGTCCTTACTATTATTATTATCATTGTTAATACCATCATCATCATTATCATCATCATCATCATCATCATCATCATCATTATTATTGTTATCATTATAAGGTTACCCATTCTTTATAATGTACATACCTTTACACCATACAGCCTTGAAGTAGTAGTACTGATCGAGCGAGCAAAAACCATGAGTTGCTTGTGATACCAGACTGCAGATACGGAATCTACGAGCGTGGGTCGCTTGGGCAAGGTGACCGGGATGGAGTTGGAACCAACTTTCTTCCACGAGGAGAAGTTCAAAAAATTGAGGGTGTCTTGAATCACCGAGTAGACTTGCCCATCGGATGCTTGCACAAAGACCTAGATCATTAAATAGGCATTATTGTTTTATGTATTAAAGATACTATGTCCCTTTTGCAGCCAACATCAAATTCTGTAGAACTTTGAAGGAATTATGAATATGTCATGTATGTCCTATCTGTGACATTTAAACGTTAGCAATGTCCTAGTATTCAAATTATGCAAGGAAACCGGTTACTTGCTAGACTTCACTGTTAGACACTATTGAGTGACTGACTGGCTTTTTGGTAATAACATACATAAAATGAGCTGTAAAGGGTACATGAGCATTTGTCTACACTCTACACCAATAACCCAGTTCTTGTAATGGCCAATATTAGCCTGATTGAATCTGTGTGCAGCATAAAACATACGACCATTCCGTACAATGGTCTGAAAATCAGAATATTATTTACTGGCTCTAAAGCTCTTAAGTCGATTCGACAACTAATAGTCGTTATTTTTTCCACTTAAAGACATGTTCAAGCTCCCCCTTTTTAAGGGAAATTCTAATTAGTATTATCTTTCAAATGCTGTTGGAATTTAACCTTTTCAATTTTTTGGCCTGCAAATGTGACATAGTACCTTTAAACAAGAATGGACGGTATAAATTTGCCACCCTCAACCGCTCGGGAACAATCAGGAAAACATATTATCATGGTATATATATATATATATATATAATGTATTTTAGAACTCTTTTTTGTTGATGTTTGTTTCACACATTTCAAATTAAGTTCACACCGTATTTAAAAATAAGTTCCAGAATGAACATGTAAATATTGCTACAACTAATTGTATGTTAGATAAGTTCTTTCCTATTATTCTGTTTATATCAATTCGGTTTAAACATTAATTTATATCTTTTTATCTATTTATTGTTTTTAAATTTGGTTTAATGTTTTTATTACATGACAACCATATTTAATCAAGTATTTGATATCTTTATGAATTAACTACATATTTGTTTAGATTCCAAACCTTGGAAATAAATGTTTTGTTACCTCTCATGAGTCATCCATGGCAAGTTATATTTTTCATGATTTAAATGTTTGGTAGATTGCCGTTTGGTTTACTTTCTACTATCCTCATGGTCTGACAATGATTGTGTCTACTTAACATTCTGGTCTAATGACAATTTAGGCCAATAGCCAGTTGGTCTTTTCTCCAGTACGTGTACTCTCTGTAAGTTCAAATAATCATTTGATGATTATCATGATTTATGATGAAATGATTATTAGACCATAGTGGATAGTAAAAGGTTAAGTTAGATTACGAAACACACATGGATCGTATTACTCATGGCATAATAGTTCGGTCCCGGGCCAACTGGGTCGAGTACGGAGAGAAAAACAGTAAGTTCTTTTTAAACCTGGAAAAGGCAAACAAAACTCGATCAACCATTTACTGGTTAAAAAGTTGAGATGAAATTCTAACTGACAGTTTAAAAGTAAATACGCATATTAACAAATTCTACTCAGACTTATACAAAGCAGAAGAACCAAGAGTTTTAGTAACTGTAAGTTTTTTGAAGCAAAATAACATACCAAAATTATCTCCCAACCAACAAGATTCATGTGAAAAAGAATTATCCCTTGCAGAATGTACGGCTTCTTTATTAGCCATGGCTAAAAACAAATCACCCGGCAATGACGGAATAACCGTCGAGTTTTATTGTAAATTTTGATACATATTAGGACCGTTGCTCGTAGACACCCGCAGAGACAAGGCATAATCACCCTAATAGTAAACAAGGGCAAGGATAAAATATTTATAGAAAATTATAGACCAATAACACCAGGCGCGTACGCAGGAGGGGGGAGGGGGTTTGGGGTTAAACTCCCCCCCCTTGAGTTTTTGTAATGTGTATGTTTTGTGTATGTTATTTGTGAACCCCCCCCCCCCCTTGTGATTTTTTTTTTTTTTATAAAAAAATAAAATAAAAAAATATGGCAATGGCTGACCTAAAAAAGGTGACCTACCCCCCCCCCAACGGAACAAAATATCAAATTTTGAATTTTCGAGACCCCAAAAAACAAAAAAAGTGTCCTCTTACCCCCCCCCCCCCCCCCCCCCCCCCCCCCCACCCAATCGATTTCAAAATCATCAATTTCTTTTAGAAGTGTTGAAATGTTTCAATTTCGGAAATTAATTTTGAAATTTTGACAATGTTCTTTGCAAGGACATGGAAAGCTGCGTAATGAACGATAACATTTCAACTGGATTTTTTCCAGTAGGAAAAGGAGTAAGACAATGGGACCCCCTTTCTCCATACCTCTTACTTTAGCGATAGAAACTCTGGCAATAAATATAAGAATGAACCAAAATATCCAGGGCATAAAGTTAAACGATATTCACGAAATTAAACTTTCTATGTACGCAGACGACATAACAGTATTTTTGTTAAATTTCGAATAATATTCTTATTTAACTGCTATGCTTGATGATTTTCAAATTTGTTCGTCACTTTCACTGAATTACCAAAAGACAAAGGCAATGTTTATAGGACACTTTAACGTACAAAATCCAGCAATTCAAATAAATATAAAGTTTGATAATGTTTTGACAATACTCGGAATCGATATCTCCGACTCTTTTGAAGATAGAATGGCACAACTCCAAGAAATTTTATCCAAAATCAAATCTCAACTGAACTTATGGAAAGACAGGAATATGTCACTATATGGAAAAATTCAAATAGTTAAAACTTTTGCTATTTCCCAGCTGTTATATGTAGCCAGCATTGTGTCCATTCCCGATTCATTTATTCATAAGGTTAACACAGTACTATACGATTTCGTATGGGGCGGCCCAGATAGAATAAAACGTGAAGTCTTGGTAAATGAGTATAATGAGGGAGGTTTAAAGATGACTTGTATTAAATCGATTCTTCAAGCTCAGAAAATTAAATGGGTGACAAGAATATTCACTTCAAATTCTATAGGTTGGAAAACATATGCTTAGAATTATTGTCACCAGTTGGCGGAGAATATATTTTTTGTTGTAATTTTGATATGAAATATTTAAACATTGAAGTGTTAAAATGATTCAGGGAAAATTTTAGAAACATGAAGTCTTTTGAATAGAAAAACCGATATTGCTAACCAGTGTATATGGAATAACAAAACTATCATATTAAACGGAATATCTATATTTAAACCAGAAATAAAAGAAAAGGGTTTTGTAAAAATTGCAGATATGTTAGATGAATTTGGACGTCCACTTCGATGGAAAGACTGTATAGAAAAGTATAAAATTCACTGAGTATTTTGTATTGCTAGATTGTTATAAAAAAAATACCAGGAGCATGGAAGCATTTCTTTTTGCAGCAAAACTATCACCATCTCGTTAAAGATCTAAGAGATTTTCCTTCTATTTTCTGTGATTCCGAATTCAAACAAATCCATAATATAATGACGAAGCAACTTTATCGTACTTTTCTAATACTTAATAACCAAGAAATTTCTAAAGTATTTACTCGTTTCAATGAGCTGTATAATATGAATGAGCAACAAGTGTCAAATCTCTTCACTCTACCAGCAAATGTTACAATTGACTCCAGACTCCGAATTACGCACTTTAAAATTTTGAATAGTCTAATCCCAACTAATGAATGGCTGGCACGTATAGGAAGAAAAAATAGCTCGCTGTGCTCTTTTTGCAATGCGACACCCGAGACAATGGACCATTTATTTTTTACATGTCCTAAGATTACAGCCTTTAGGAATGCGCTACGCAGAAGAGTGACTGATTTTAATCCCGATTATTTTCTTACAGGCAAAATCACTTTATTTGGAATTAACGAACCAAAAAGTCAAGCCACCTCAGCTTTTAATTTTCTTATTTTACTTGGTAAACAGTTCATTCTACGTTGTAAATATCAAAAGAGTATACCTAGTTTGAAACAATTTAATAATTATATTTTGTCTTATAAATCCACTGAAGAAGCTATTGCAAAAAAGAAAAACAAATTTGAGAAGCAAATGGCAAAGTGGCAAAACATCAACAAGTATTTCCGTGTTGCATAATGATAATGTTATATATTATGTGCAAAACGTTTCAGGGGATAGATTTATTTGTTTGTGTTAAAAAAAAATTCGTTTTACTCATGTTGTAGTGTATTTGATGTACTATGTTCTATTATGTAATAGAAAAGGTCAGATTACATCATGCGTTATGCCCCGGCGGTGCAGCCGGGCCGACTACGGACCGGCGGGGGAGAGAGGGGCAATAAATGTTCTTTACTTCTTGGCCTCTCTCTTTCCATTTAGTGTCGGTCTGGTGGTCGTATCGTCTGTGCGGCCGGGGTATACAAAGTATCATCATGCTATGTTTTTCAATGTTACACTGAAATGTGAAACCGCAAGATTGTAAGTGTGAAACAATATGATTATTCATTATTTTTGTGCAAAACGATGTAACGCATATTTTGTAAATCATTGTGTTTTCTGACCAATAAAACTTATCAAGATAAAAAAAAATAGTGGAAAGTAGACGAAATAGGCATTAGACAAACTTGGAATAATACAGACTGGAAATTAGACTAAATTAACGAAAGTTCAAATGGATAGTAGACAGATTTTCTACAATATTTACTTATATATTTTAAGGAATATTTTGCGAGAGGGCGTAGCGACCGAGCGAGAAGATTTTTAGCTTTTTAATTAGTCTAAACGCTGCACTCTTGGACCACCCAGAGCCTAAAAGCGGCTCAAGGCATGGGCACACAGAGAATTTTTTTATGTTGGGGACTGAGGTAAAGTGCAATAAATTATTGAAAATTTATTGCATTTTCTGTTTTTTATTTTATTTATGGAAACTGCCCCCCTACCCTAGCCCAAACTGCGTACAGCCATGGTTCAGTGACAAAGCAATGGCCTCGTAACTGTGAGGCCCCAGCATCAAAACCATGTCGATGTGCTATATTAGTGCCCTTTTGTGGGGCATTAATCCTCATTACTGTCATTTATGACTTAAGGGCGTAGGTCCCCTAGTTGATAAGCATAGTAGCATACATATGCTTTAGCAGTCACGCAAAACACACATTGTCAAATTATTATTCAATAAAATCTAAGAATGTTTACTATTATCTAGATCTATTATTTTTGAATTATTTTTAAAATAATTCCATGAATTGGGGAAAAGCAAAAATATTCCAACTTTATGAGCGACAGTGTATGTTAGGCTGCTGACTCTGACAATAGGGGGCGTTGTAAAATGAGACTAAACGGAGCTATTTGTTAATAACGAAGAAAAAGAAAAAAGTTGAAGGCATTATTACCTTTTCCATGAAAAGTTTCATGGAAAAATGATAGGTTTGTGCGGAATGATCTAGAAGACGAAATTACAAGTAAACAGTGCGGGGATGGGGGGGGGGGGGTAGTTCGAAATGCCCCTCATACAGAATATAGTCAAAGAATATCTGAGGGTTTGCCTCATATCAACCAATATGATAACCAATATGATAACCGGCCTAGTTCACGCGTTGAATAGTGGAAAACACCAAAATACCCGATGATATAGACATCTGGATGAGAAATCTTTGTTGTTTGAAGGCTAGCAATATTTTGTGCGTAACCATGGGAAAAAACACAAGGCAGACAATACAATAATAACAAAAGCAAACCACACGTGTTTTATATTTTCGCTTACAAAAGTGAGTACACTTATTTGTTCGTGTCCACATTTCAATCAAAATTTCTTCTCGAATTCTCACTTCAATAACAAAATAACATTTAAAAAAGCAAGCTTAAAGGCATTATTACATATTCTATCAAGACTTTTAAAAAAACCTATAGATTCGTGCGAAATGATCTTAAAATGAAATTATACATTTTCTTATTAAAAGAAGCTCAACATGATCACCAGGAATAAACTCTTATGACATAACTACCGGACGAATGATTTAAAATCTAAGATCTTTTTTTCTTCTGCAAGCAATCTATAAAATATCAATGGCACGTTTAATAATAGACTTGACATTTTGCAGGCCCACTTGCGTGGTCTACACAATATTAACTTAGAGTTGGTCATAAATGTGTTGTTAAGTTTATTTAGTAGCTGGTATTGCACTGTGCAAATAGGCAAACAGGATGGGACACCGTGGTTGTAACCCCCCCCCCCCCCCCCCCTCCCCCTCTGCAATGACGGTTGGATATTCGTTCAAGCAAACAAGAACTTGGGGATAACGGTGTGGTCTATTTATGTAATAATCATGTAGTGAAATTTTGTGACAAAATTACCTTTTCTCGCTGGCCTATATAAACCATGTTTTTTTTAAAAAATGCTCAAAGGTTGTTTCTCCGAGACTCGTACAGTGATCCCGGTGTCAATAATTACTCCGGTTTTCAAACCAAATGTAGTGTTAATAGATTTGCAAGGAGTTTTGTTTAATGTTATGTTGATATCAGATCTTTACAAATTTGATAAAAATTAAGTGCAGGATATTGACCGCAGAGCAACTGTCGCCGAAGCTTGTGTCGCCTTAAGGGCCTATTCTAACGCCATGGCTTTGTAACTAAGAACAGGCTTGTTTCTGATACGACAAAACTTGATGCATGCAGAGGATTGAAATATTATTTTGTGTTTTATATATACCGAGATAATAATGATGTTCATGTGTTCCCTTAAAGATAAACTTTAGTACTGGTAATGCGATTGCATTGTGAAAGAAAAGGTGTGAAAGGATCAGAAACAGTTGATCATGTAGCATGTAAGTATTGGTGTGCACTGCAAGGTTCTGGAGTCATCAAAATCATAATAAATTTGACCGAGTCTTGGTAAAGTAACAAGCACTCACATAGAAAGCTATATATGGGACAACACACATGGTGTCGGGGCTAGTACTACCTTGATTTCCTTGTCTTTCTATGCTCATTACTCAGCCAGTATACATTTTCTTCCAAAATTGTTTGGCACATGTCATTTATTTTGTAATCTTGAACATTCAGTGTAAGTTTCGTTTGATTCTGTGAGAATAATTTTTTTTTGTTACCAGTACTGGAGTTTATCTTTAATTTTCTTCGATCTCACCCTCCGTGCCATAATCTTTCTCTCAGTGTCCCTCTTCACTTATATATCCTTCTTTCTTTAATAATGCTTCCATACTTTAGGCTATAATCAATTTTCTATTTAATGTCAAATGTTTGTGAGATATCTTTTTCTACCACATGACCAACATGGGAATAGCACTTCCGCTGCCATAATTTTTCCTCAGTTGTCTTTGAATAAAATAACTATATGGGTATAATCTAAAGTCTGTTTTTTTTAAATGCAAAATTAACTTATTAATGGCCATCGAAACAGTGGTATAAATATTACGTTTCAAAAGGGCCTATACGTCTGACAGGCCTTTTAGATTGCTATAGGGTGATTTTTAGGTTCTATACGTTGTGAGTTTGCAGAAGTTTTAAGGCGATTAAAGGTTGACAAATTTCATTTATATCCGTAATTTAATTCCCTTTTGGCAATGAAATAAATTAATGAATGAATGGATAAATAAATAAATATGTAAACTTACAAACTTACAAACGGAGAACAAGGGGAAGGGGTAGATGATTCAGTGGTAGCGTCGAACAAAACTGTATTTCTACAGATTCATAAAAGGAATGAAAAGGAAGAACAGGGCGTATCTGTGTACGTTCCTGCATGATCAGTATGGGGCGATTTATGTACGGTCACATTGTACATTTAACTATGTCGAAGAAGTGTGGGAGGGGGGAGGGGGGGTTCAGGTGCTAAAATTAGACCAAGCAATATATCAGAAGGGTAATTTTTCTCTCTACGCACAACCAGAAAACGCCTTATTTACAGGGGATGGGAACCCCCTCCTGTACACGCTACTAGGTTGCAGGATTTTTTTTGTGTTGGTATGTCAACAAAATTTATTAGAGACTAACTTTCAAACCTCTTTGACTGCCAAATTCCCTGGCGAAGACACCCCCCCCCCCCCCCCCACCCCCGTTAGCTTTGTGGCTTTATATATTTATTTTACCGAGTAGTGGTTAATTTATTTTAGAAATTGTTTGTTTTTGTTGTTTATAAATTAACCTAGAAAAATGAAATGACGATCAAAAGAAATCGTCAAATTCAATTCAAAGCAAAACTGAAGAGACAATCCTTTTTTCCTATTCCGATTTGATAGCGACAAAGTGATGTACATTACCACCTGCATGATTCATTTTTTCCCGGAGAAGTTGTCTGTGAAAGACTGCTCGAGCCAGCGGAAACGGTGCAGGCTTTGATAACTATAATAATAATGATCATGATCATCATTACACTTTCATCACGAGAATTAGAAAAATGACACCAACAAGCTGTTGATCGAACCTCTCATGTTTTACAAATGCGTTACAAGCGCTAAAGTCTCAAAGAAATGAGAACTTGAAGACGGAGAAGCTATTTAGAAGGAGGAGAAAAAGAAAAAGACAAAAAAGGGGAAAGAAGAACAGGTAAAGGGAGGAGGTGAGAAGAAGACTAAGAAGGAGGAGGAGGAGAAGAAGAAGAATGTTCTGTCACCTTCATCATTCTATTACCCTCTCCTTAACTTGTGACCCCCCTCCTCCCCCCCCCCCCCCCCCCACTTCATCAGCTGCTTCATGATAGAAAATTATTATTCAATAATTGAAAAAATTAATAAAGAGACAAACCTGGGTTTGATTTCGTTCTGTCATTTCACACACAGGGTTGGACAGCGGCGGACTGGCCAACGGAGCTCCAAGATTCTTCCACGAGCTCCACCCGGCCGAGGAGGGGTCCACATCTCCGTAGCTCACTTCCACGGAAACTGGAGAAGCTGTAGCATTTGATCTGAAAGCAAGCAGGCGTTGGTTCCCAACCCCACTGCTCCCCACTCGATTTGCAATCACACAAAATCGCGATGTGCTTGAAACTGATCCGCTGCATGATGAAAAACACCCAATAAGCACGATGCCCAAAATAGCATTGTCTCCATGATCATGATCTGATAAGTTAGTGATGAGGAATCGATGCGAGAAAAAATTAACGAATGCACAATATTAATGTAGATTTTCAGGCATTATTGATCTAATAATTTACAGATAGAAAGACTTGATTTATTCCGCCAAACAAAATTAATGATTGCCGTTCTCCGGATCCATCCGTTACCAGAAATGGCAGAAAATGCTTCTGGTACACAAAGCTACTATATATAGGCCTAGTACATGTACAGGTATTACTACATCTGCCCGATATATAATGGCCGACAAACCTGCATTTCACAATAGTTGTTGTTGTCGATGGGGAATACCAGTTATTCAAGAATAACGAACATAATTATAACGCATGCACATTTTCTGTGTCGTTAATAGTCTTTAGCCGCAGACTCTATATATTCGACCCCTTTAATGAGACACGCCAAACAGCTTGATAACAGGCTACAGGTACAGACAATAAATTTGTCTTGAAACTGATCCGCTGCATAATGTAAAACATCCAATAAGCACGACGCCAAAAATTAGCATCGTCTCCATGATCTGATAAGTGATGAGGAATTGAGGCGATAAACAAATGCACAAGGTTAAGGTAGATTTTCAGTCATTATTGATCAGTTTACAGATAGAAAAGCTTAATTGAATTCGCCAAACAAAATGAAAAAAGGGGCCCGGCCCATGCAAATTTTCAAATTTCCAAGGCCCCCCCCCCCAAAAAAAAATGTGCTCACTACCCCCCCCCCCCCCCCCCCCCCCCCCCCCCCCCATTAATGTCCACCGGCACTTCTTGACACAAACGAGGCCTTCTGATTGGTTAGAAGTTAGAGAAATGTGATCTGTCACGTCGTGAGACGTTGTATATGCTTCATTGCTGCACAATGCACAAAGACGGTGGTCTGGTGCTTCACCAGTAGTACTTGCAAAAATTATCTCGACTGTGTTGTTATCAGAGGCGTCGCTAGACCTTTTTCAGTGGAGAAAGGGGGGGGGTAGAGGCCACCGATTACCGACAAAACTAGCCACCAATTACCGTCAAATATATTAATGCCAATGTCTACAAATTTATCCCTATAAACCGGGGCCAGGAACTAAGTTATTTTTTTCAGTTTACTCCCCTCGCGCGCAAAGCGCGAACGCTTTGACACTTCATTAAACTATTAGAGAAAGAAGACGATTCGTTGTACCGTTCTAGACTCGTAATTCTTGTTTCGCCCCTCCCGCGCGAAGCGCAGAAGCACTAAAGAAACTGTAGCTTGATTCACACTTTTGTAATTTGGGAAGATGGAATGATGCAAAGAGCAAAGTTTGTACGTCAGTTCTTCGCTGGGAATTAACTTATAAAGGCCATGTAACTAAATTAAGATTGTGATGTCTAATTTGGGATCGAATGGAGATGTGAAGCGTAATTACTCACCTAACATTTTATTTTGTAGATGCAAAATAACTAAATGAAGACAAAAGTACATATCTCCGCCTGTAGCAGAGTCATGGCGTGGCGCTCTCCCTATTTCCAATGGAACACGGATGTCTTTCTTGATTGTCGCCCTCTGTTGTTACCCCTATCTCGGTCAGGTTGGTGATGGGTAGAAAGGAGATCGTGCTTAACATTTTGTTATTCTCTCTCTCTCTCTCTCTCTCTCTCCCTTTCTCTGTCTTTCTGTCTCTGTGTCTGTCTATCTGTCTCTTGTCTGTCTGTTTTCTCTCTGTCTGTCTGTCTCTCTCTCTCTCTCTCTCTCTCTCTCTCTCTCTCCATATCTGTCCCTCTCACTCATACACTCCCCCCCTCCTCCCCTTTCTCTCTCTCTCTCTCTCTCTCTCTCTCTCTCTCTTCTCCTCTTCTCTCTCTCTCTCTCTCTCTCTCTCTCTCTTTCTCTCTCTCACTCCGATATTCTCCCTCTAATCCTTCAATTAAATAATTTGCAATGAGATATTTAACAACCACGTATATGAGTTTATGCATAACATAGGATTACATAACGAAAGTGGCCTATAACCTAATACGAAGAGATATTTTGAGTTGGCGCATAACAAGGAAAGTTGTCACATTAGTTATCTATAGTCGACACTGATCAGCGAATACAAACGAAGTAGCCTATATTCTATAATTATACATTAATTCCTATCGAATGTGTATCCTTGTTAGGAAGTGGTTGGGCCAATGTACTTGTTCCCCCAAGGTCATAAACAACCACGCTCGTGACTTTCAAAATAACAATGTCATCTGCTCTGAAGTTCATAGGGGCGGAGAATGATCTTGGGGAATGGGGAGAGAGCCGGGGGAGAGTGGTGGTGGTAGTCATGATAGCGGCTGAAAGGGAGTTGTTGCTACTTGCTAGCGCCAACAGGGGATGGACCCAGGATTGTTTTTTGTTTTTAATTAGAAAGAAGAAGAATTTTTTTTTAAAAATCGATATCAGGGGGGGGGGGGGCGGCAGTCAGATATATTTCTTTACACATGCACGCCCGGAAAAAATAGAAACGAAAACGCGTGAAACGGATCGCGATTGACGCGCGTTCTGGGCGTACGAGTTCGTTGATAAAAAGGGCATCTTTGGCGTGTAGGGAAGTTACCGGAAAAAGTGGAAAAGTTTGTCGACTGCTCTAACGGAGAAAAGTTTGTTAACCCCCATTACGCAATGTAACTAACAGGGGCATTCCCCGTGACCGGTGATCGTATATGCACATTGTATATTTCCACTGGTATACCTGTTTAGTTAAGTGTTACCTTTGAAATGTATAGTCTCATCAGGTGGTAGTGTCGGGGCTACACGGGGCATGGGTATATATGCCCCCCCCCCCCTAACCTCAAGTTGTGAAGCAAAACAAAGGCGAGAAAAGGAAGGAGGTAAAACTTAAAGTTGTGAAGAAGAAAAAAGAGAGAAGGGAAGAACAAGAAAAGAAGACACACGGCCAATCTCATGCACCCTTTCCTCTTGTATATTATTTCGCATTTAATTTTCTGAGTGAGACCGGCGTGGACGTCCCCCTCCCCCGATTACTACCCCCGATCAATATAGTACCCCTTCAACGGGTGGACTCAAGCTACGCCACGGGCAGCTGGATCTTCTGATAATGAGTAATTCATACACATCCCTTTGTAATTATCCTCCCCATGATATTTCCTCCAGGAAATTCGAACTACACATGCTGGTAGTGAACCAATAATGCGGATGCAGGTACATGCATTTTCTGGTATCAAAGTGTGGTTAGAAAATTTATAACCTGCATGTATGATAAAAAAAAGTATTAACTGTGAACTTGTGAATTGAATTCATGAAGATGTTAAAAAATAACTTTGAAGCGGAAATACAATTTAGGCTTGCTTCTCTGCTGATTTGAAAAACAAATTAAATTGAATATAAGCAAACAATGAAAATTAACTTATAAATATCTCTCTCTTCAATTATTCTTCTTTTAATATCCTGCTCCTGATCCTGCTCCTGACCTTATTTTCCTTCTCCTTCTTTTCTCCTTCTTTTCTCCTTCTTTTTCTCCTTTTCCTTCTCCTCCTCCTACTACTACTACTACTACTACTACTACTACTACTACTACTACTTAATCTACTACTGATACTACTACTACTACTACTACTACTACTACTACTACTACTACTACTATGCGTATTCTATACTACACTAACAGCACACCTCCACTACATCTGCTGCTGCTGCTACTTTTACTTCTACTACTACTACTACTACTACTACTACTACTACTAGGCCTACTACTACTACTACTACTACTACTACTTCTACTACTACTACTATTACAACTGCTACTACTACTACTACTCTACTACTACTAGTAATGATAATCATATTAATAACAACGTTTCTACTTTTATTTGATTTTTCACCTTTCCCTTCCTTTTCGTGTTCTTCTTTCTCTTGCTACCCCCCCCCCCCCCCCCGTCAAGACAACATGTCTTTCTTCCACTGCTATTTTTATCGTGCCCCTTGTTTAGTGATATCAAAATATGAACGATGACGAATGCGTCTGGCCCAATTTGTTTACTTTACTTGATTTGTGAATTTCTCACGTCAAAGTACATGTCTTGATGATTACTTGTTTCCGAAAGTAATTTTCTGAATCACCTGCAACCCGAACCCTTGGGATAAGTTCGTTTGAATTTGAGACCATACACAGTCATGTGTCAAGCCACGTGTCCTATTCGTCAGTAACCATGGCAACAATAAATGAACACAATAATCAAGGCCCGTCATTAGGGCATAAAAAGGATTTCTGCTTTTCTGTTGAAAAGATGACAATGACGAGGCGATAAAATGCCCTCGATAATTAAATCTGAACTACATTTATAATTTTTCTTTCTTCGTGGTCTAAAGCTTGACTTATTTGGATCTGTACGATGAATTTTGTTGGTGTGAGTATTTGTGTCTGTGATATTTTGTTGGTCTTATTCATTCGTTCCCTCTGATCAGTCTTTTGCGAAATTTGCATTTTCTCGAGTAACATTCTAAAGCTATTCTACTCATTAACTTTTAAAAATTGCATCCCTTTTGTCCTCTTCGCTCCATCAGAATTCATATAGAAAACCTATGTATGTATAGTAGGCCTTAATTAAATCAAGGGGCTCATTAGGCTTCCGGCGTTCAAGTACGCCCCCCCCCCCCCCCCCCCGATCTCGGAGAGTATTTCGCGAGCTCCACTGAGTAGGTATATAATGTTCTGGCTACTCCAGCGGGGCCAGTTTCTCAAAACCTTCATAAGTCTAAGTTCGTGGACATTCCATAGAAACGCGTGTTAATTCTACAACACCTGTTTCAATGGGATGTCTAAAAATTAGACCTATGACGGTTTTGAGAAACGGCCCCCAGTGCACTGCTTGCTCTTCCGTTTACCGCACTTTTCGATTACAATATTGTGAAGGGCTCTTTTTGTGTTTGAAGCTCATGGGTCCTTTAAATAGGCCTCCGTCAAAAGGTTTAGTTTCCTTACATTACGTAACAATACTGTAGCTTTGAACTCAAGATCAATTATTACGTAACTACTTAAAGAAGGTCGATGCATGTAACGGTATAGTAAATTATAGCCTTGGCCCTATACGTTGAAACGTGAAAAGTGAACGGCATTTTGTTTTCTATGATTAAACTTTCTCTAGTTCTGTATGAAATACAGTGCAAGATAAAAATAAATGAAACGAGTTTACTATTAATCACGAGTATTGGTAGAATTATCTAAGATTATAATCTAAATATTTATGTGATTACTGAAACGCAAACTATAATGTTTTACCCATTTCGGTGAAAGTCACTTTCACATTTAAGGATATTAAGCCACATATCCCTGCCTTGTACTTTTTTTTTCACTTCCTTGTGAATCAAACCATGTTTACAGGTCCATGATCAAACCATGACAAATGTGTTGAAGCTAAACCCTACCCAGTGAAGGCAGCTCTGAAACCCTGAACATAAGTTTTGTTTTACCCTAAAGCCTAACCCTAAATTATACTAAAATAAATCGCAGTCATATCTAATTGTATCACGAATTTGATTCGACAGTCTGAATGAGTGATACACATTAAAAAAAGATTGCATGAAACGGTGAATCTTTACAAATTCAGAGTATTCATGGAAAAGGTGTATGTTCATAGTTTTTACTATAATCAAATTTGTAAAAGAATGGCCTATTTTGGCGAGAATTCATGAATGAAAATTAAAATATAAAATGATCTAGCATTAGGGCCCATTTAAAAACTATAAAAGAAACAATTTTATCTTGCGAGTCTCGTTATATGTATTTTTTCCTTCTCTCTGTCGCTCTCCCCCCCCCCCCCCCCCCCCCCCCCCTCTCTCTCCCCCTCTCTCTCTCTCTCTCTTCTTATCGTTTTTTTTTCTTCGAGTGCCTCTCTCAAATTAATTGTGTCCACCTTCTCTTTCCCATGATGTTCTCTGTTCTTTCTTTCTTTCTTCTTCTTTTCCAGTTCTTCATTTAAATACGTAACATATTATGTAAGCCTAAGAAAACCATTCCTAATTCAATTTACAGTGATTTATGTGAGTCACGATATATTGCGCTTTAGTTTACGACTTTTTAATCTTAAAAAGGGCGAATTTTATGTACCATTGTCCGCATTACGACCAATACGATTTTTATGGTCATAGAAAAAGTTTGTTGAACCTGCAAAAGCACATGGTGCGAAAGTTTGTTCACCCATCCTGATATCAACATTATTTACATCGAATTTGCATAGGGCCAATCACTGTCGTCAACTCAGGGAGAAAACCAACAAACTGACCAATGAGCATCCTTATAACTGAATATGCATTTATGGAAATAAGCTTTATCACAAGTGCGCAGTGAAAGTCGGTACGAGAGCGCGCGCTCCGAAATACACCGGTAGTACGCAAAACCAATCGGGACGGCGAATATACCAAATTTAACCTCCGAAATAGAGGCTGTTCTCCAATTTACAAGTTAAAGAATTGTTTGGATGTCTATGAATTCACGATTATCATATTGGCCAAGGAAGGATTGTCTTGTTTAGAGTTGGTAAGTACTGAAATTACTATTTGTATTAATTTTGTAAAAAAAAAAAAACCTCAAAACCACCCCTGTAATATTTGCAGACGATGCATGCCACGTGTGTGTGTGTGAGTGGTATCCGGTGATCAGCTGGTGTTGCAGAAGTGGTGAAATAATTTCCTTTGTTGCGTTGCACTGGTTTCGCGCGCTTCTCTGAATGTGCCACGGATGTATGATTATTTCACGTGGAATTTGAGATAAATCTGACAAGATATTCCTTCATTTAATGGCAAATTAACATAACTTGCTATATAACAGTATAAGCTTGATACATTATTATTTGTGTATGAATCTGAACACGTAAAGCCATTATTTTGAGTTCGACCAGGGGTAAACACCTTCCTGGTTCGACCTATCTAGGCCTATTATAAAACAAGGACATTTTATATCTTTCTATAAATAGTAATAAGAAAGGATTTGTTTTCTCAAATAGAGAGATGGAAAGAGAGAGAACGAGAGAGAGAGAGAGAGAGAGAGAGAGAGAGAGAGGGGGGGCTATGGGGGGGGGGGGGGGGGTCCAGGTAGAAAGATAGAGATACAGTCAAACTCATTGGAAAGTGAATAAGTGTCCACTCGACTGAATTTACTTTAGCATGTTGAGTTTTTCCGCAAATCATTCCCTTGGATGGTTCTGTTGTCAAATGATAATCTTATACTGACATTTTGTGACGATTTCCCCAATCAAGACTGATAACCCCAAACAATGCACGATTCATACCAGTTTGCATGGTTTGTAACTCGACAATCCCATACTTCACGCCTTCACTGTTTAATAAAGCGAAGTATACTGTCTTCAATCCAAATGACTAGATGTATTTCTGTCAGGGATTTCGACATGAAACCTTCGAAAACTAACGAAACCCAAATGTTCCTGTCCATAGTATTGGCTGCATAATTCAAATTAATGCAAGCGGCATAACAAATATTAGGAAGGAAACTCTTTGACGTCTTATTGCAGTACATACCCGATTTGTGTTCATGCTTCCTGGTGTATTTCTTCTACCCTCCATCTCCCCCTCTCTCTCTCTCTCTCTCTCTCTCTCTCTCTCTCTTTCTATCCCTCCTCTCCCCCCCCCCCCCTTTCACCCGCTCCTCTCCCTCTCTCCCTCACTACTTCTCAACCCCCTTTCTCTTGGCTTGCATTGATATTTCTATTCCCGTGTTTCCCCCCAACTAGACCGATAGATCGCATTATTCCTATGTATAGACACCTCTGAATCGTCACAAAATTAGTTTACATTAATTTGATCTAGAATTCTAGTAGGACTATACAGGGCAGGGTCCCTCCTTTAATGTATAATTTTAAAGAGTCCTCTTAATCTAATCAATAGCAAATTTGCAGTCCCCTATCTCTCATATCCATAATTGCGATTAATTTCAATAAGACGGGGGGGGGGGCGGTCTTTCTCTTGTTTTCCCTTTATTTTTGTTATGTAGCTCATAATTGGCTCAATAGCCTTGACTCTCATAGTGATTCCAATTCCTTGATTTTTCGAGATCTAGAATAAAACCAAGAATTCATTTGTCGATCCATTTAATTCCATCTTTTTAACGGCCACATCTTGCGTGAAAGAGTGAACATGTAAAAATATATTCCAAATATAAATGCATAGTTGTTTTCGTTTCTTTTTAATGGGATATAACGTACATTACACATAATTAATTTGGCGTTGGTCTATTTTACGGTCATAATATCATAATACAGCCTCTTTTTTCTCTAAAGACTGAGGTCAATTTCTAATTGTTGTTAACTATCCAATTTTGCAATCATAAGATTGACCGTAGAGTGAAAAAAAATTGGTGCAGTGCCGGTGCAGAGTATTATACCAAAGGGATATGCTGGTATCTCCTTGATTGTACCTTATTTTTCTATACTTCGAACTGCATGAGTGCTTCGATGTTGGACCTGTTATTTAATGGCTCGAGACTCGAAGAGTATTTCAAGGTAAACATGTTTTTATGCTATTTGCTTGCGATATAAAAGTCTGAATACCCCCAACCGCAGACTTTTCTGGAAGTTTGAACCATTACCAGTTACAAATCCCCATGAAGATCACATTGTATGAAATACAGCTGTTGTTATTTTGAGAGTCTCGCAATACCTCATCACTCAGTTATTTTGCAGCTTTCAATAACAGACCTGTTAAAAGCCATTATAATAATTTGGAGTTCAATATCGAACAAATATTCACATATCAGACTTTGATATGGTTTAAAAGCTCATAAAGATTTATTCACGTCTCAACATTCAATTTATTCCTATTTTTAGCTAGTCCCTTCAATATTAATTGTACATTTTCTTCATAAATGTCAGACAAGGTCTGTATTTTAGACTAGTACTCGAGGTGCCAGATGTATGGTAGTGTCAACGGGTCGCAAGTTCGTGAACTTGCATGCATGCAACTTTTCCCCCTACATTTTCTCGTTATGCTCATTGTGTAGAATATCATATTATGTGCTTTTGTGCCGGCACGTTTATGATATAATGTGTGTTTAATTTGAACCACTGAAATAAATATCGAGAAGAATAGGGGGGGGGGGGTGTAGTTTGAAATAATAATTCCAAATTTGTTGAATAATTGTTAAAAGAATATATGGATATTTTTAAATTGGTTATGTTTAAAGTATGAGAATACGAAATAACAAAATCTTGTCGAACATGTTTAGCCTTTTAGGTAGTATAGCGTATTTGAAGGGATAGGATTCCGAGGGAGGGGCAACCAACCACCCGCCCTCCCTCCAACACTCAAATAGCCAAATCAACCATGTATATACAATTACTGAAAACTTGAAGGAATATTTTCAAAGTAAAGTGTGATAAATCTCCGAAAATTACAAGTTATGGATAAATTAAAAAGGAACAAGTTGTCTCTGACCCCGACCCCCCCCCCCCCCCTCCGGACCTCAAAGTTGGAAAGTGATTTTCTTGTTGGATCACCATCGGTTCCCTCTTATAGAGAATCTATTTTGGCCAATACTAATTCTATTCTATTCTAGAACATTTTACTCAGCGGGGGCGTTGATATTTGTGTCCATCGAGGCAGCCTACCCTGCTCCCTCCTAATAAATACAAACAAATCGTGAGCACAAGACCTTTATTTAGTAATAAATAATAATCATGTTTTCCTCCGTCCTTCCTCACCAAGCATCCCTTGGCCATACATTATAAGCTTATTTACGAACCGAAGTTGAAAGAATCCCTTCAACCGTCTGTAATCGCTTAGAAAAAAAGAGAAAGAAAAAAAAAAACGGTGCAAAAGCAATTTTTTGAAAAGCGCATAAACCTACTCCACACGTTGACTTTCAGCAAATAAATCCATAGTTTGGATGCAGATAAGCTTTTCTTAATAATCCCCAGCATAAGGTTTTTAATTCTTAAACGAATTCGGTAATGTTTTAGCGCAAGTGTAAACGGCAGCGCAATATATCGCGATCTTTTCAAAACTACACAAGGAGCGTAAAATTTTCCAGCACGTAACGTGTGATTGTAGTCTTCCGATATGAACCGTCCTTGAAGACTCAATTTCATTTGCAAAGTGCGATAGTTTTAAAGTGTTTGTATAAAGATAAAGTCTGCCATGATTTAAATCCTTCTACTTGGCAAAGTAAATTAATTAATTCGTGTTTTCTCGTCCACTCCATTTTTCGAACTGCTCCTTCTCATTCTTCTTCTTCTTTTCTTTTCATTTTCTTCTTCGGTATTTTGTTGTTTGAAAATATTGTTCTGAAATGAAATGAAAAAACAATCGGAGTACAATTTGACAACGAGGTAATAAAATTATCGACGTTATTTTCACCTTATCTTGTTCCACAGTATAGTCTCATGTTCAAATTTAATTAAATCAAGGAAAATGGTGTAGAAATGGACCCACTAGTTATTCCTAATGTAAGTACCAGTAAATATGAAATACAAATTATGCATGTGGAACACTCTTTTCTTCATTTTCCGAAAATTCGGGCAGGAAACAAATCAATTTTAATTGGCCTAAACTCATAAAGCTATACTTGCTACCGTATAGTCGGCATATCATGAATTTTTAAAGAATTTAGAGAAATCTCTATAAAGATCTCAATTTTGTATCAAGTGCAGTCAATGAACTCAGCTGATTATGATGAATAGATTCAGCTCATCATTGTGTTCTTTCTCCACAATAATAATGTAATATTTACAATAGAAATTGACCTTGTTTAAACAGTTATTATCAGCAAAAGATGTTATAGTTGTGTTTACTTATGACATTTCTTCATGTTAATATGTAATAGGTAAATAAGACAAGAGCGTTTGCTGTATGCCGCCAAGTTACATTATAAGATTAAGATGATATTGATAGTGATTAAAGGTCTATTGACTCTTTTCATTTGTTCGCTGAAATGTTTGATAACTATTTGGTCAAAATGGCCCAGCCCGAGGGTAATAATGTATCCAACCAATAATCGGACATTTTCTTAACCCAACTTGAGTATATTGTCCAATTTTTGAAAAAAAGGAACAATATTATTTAAAAATTGGCATAATATTAACCAGGTCGGATTTGTAAAAAAAAAAGAAAAAGCCCAATGTTTATTGGCTATAATCACTCTCGTGGCACTTTTTCAAGCTGTATTTTCTTTCTGGTATGGATTGTGCCTTTACAAAGCCTAAAATCTGAATCTGAAAATTTCAGCTCTGAATCTTTTGGTCATTGAAAACATGGATAATACCAAAAGATGGTATCCCTTGTAGGTTCATTCCCTATCTTAATGACATCGTTATTGAATAACTTCGATAGATGCAATAATTTAACATTTTGAAGCTGCATGTCTGCTAAATCCGCGAAGTTACTCGAGGTTTGAATGCATTATAAATTGAAATATGCACACTCAGTAAGTGTGCTCTTCATAATTATCTGTTTTGTGGTGCGGCCTTAAAATCGATAATCTTTAACGGACTTTTTGACAACTTTTTTGAGATTGTTAATTTTGAACCC